GGGCAGTCCTGGACTCGGTAGAGGCACGGGCAAGTCTTCCCGTATCCCGATTCCTGGCTATCAAGGAGGCCGTAACCTCCGTTCAGCGATTCCCTACGACCACAGCCAGATGTTGCCTACAACTCCTGGGGCACATGGCAGCGTGCACGCACGTAGTCGAGCTCGCCCGTCTCCGGCTCCGACCGCTGCAGCTGTGGTTGACTCAGGTATATCGCCCCAACAGAGACCCCTTGGACATGGTCGTCACGGTCCCGGCTCGGGTATCGGATGCCCTCAGTTGGTGGCTCAACCAGCAGCAGGTTTGCGCAGGGGTCCCATTCACCGCCCCACAACCGACTCTGACGCTAGTAACAGACGCGTCGGATCTGGGTTGGGGTGCGCATCTAGGGGACCAGCGCACTCAGGGCTTGTGGTCCAGGGAGGAACGGCTGCTCCACATCAACCTGAAGGAGCTGAGAGCGGTTCGCCTCGCCTGCCAGACCTTTCACGCCACCATAAAAGGACACAGCGTGTCAGTTCTGACAGACAACACTACCGCGATGTTTTACATAAACAAGCAGGGCGGGTCCCGGTCCTCTCCCCTCTGCCGCGAGGCTCTCCTCCTCTGGGACTTCTGCATAGCCCATTCAGTACAACTTCGGGCGGCGTATCTCCCCGGGGTCCAGAACGGGCTGGCGGACCGTCTCAGCCGGTCCTACCTCAGGCACGAGTGGCGGCTGAGACGGGACGTCCTCCGTTCCATTTTCCTGAGGTGGGGGTTTCCCCAGGTAGATTTATTTGCCAGCAAAGACAACAGTCAGTGCCCGCAATTCTGCTCGTTTCAGGGTCACAGCCCAGGCTCAGTGGCAGACGCCTTTGCTATCCCATGGGGCGGGAGCCTGAAGTACGCCTTTCCCCCATTCCCACTCATTCACAAGGTCCTCCTGAAGGTCCGCAGGGACAGGGCGACAGTCATCCTAATCGCCCCGGCGTGGCCACGCCAACACTGGTTCACAACTCTGGTGGAACTCTCCGTGACCTCTCCGATGGCCCTTCCCCTACATCACGACCTCATCACTCAGGATCAGGGTCACCTACTCCACCCGAACCTGTCATCGCTACATCTCACGGCATGGCTACTCTCTGGCTAAGTGGGGTGGAGCACAGGTGTTCACACGAGGTTCAGCAAATCCTACTTGGTAGTAGGAAACCCTCCACGAGGGCGGCCTACCTGGCTAAGTGGAAGCGCTTCTCCTTGTGGTGTGCGCCTCACCACTCGCAGCCTTTACAGGCCTCGATACCTCTGATCCTCGACTACTTGCTGCACCTCAAGCGTCAAGGCCTCGCCCCCGCTTCTATTAAGGTGCATCTGGCCGCCATTTCGGCGTTCCACCCTGGGGAATCGGGCAGATCCGTGTTCTCCAACCCCACGGTGGTCCGTTTCCTCAAGGGTCTGGAGCGGGTGTTCCCCTACTCGCGCCCTCCTATACCCCCATGGAACCTCAATCTGGTCCTCACTAAACTTATGGGGCCGCCCTTTGAACCCCTGGCCTCTTGCTCCCTTACGCACCTTTCATGGAAGGTCGCGTTCCTCGTGGCCATTACCTCGGCTAGGAGGGTGTCCGAGTTGAGGGCCCTCACCTCGGAGCCCCCTTATACCATCTTTTACAAAGACAAGGTGCAGCTTAGGCCTCACCCTAAATTCCTCCCGAAGGTGGTTACGAATTTTCACATGGGGCAGGACATTTGTTTACCGGTATTCTTCCCTAAGCCCCATACGGACCCGAGCCATCGCAGCCTGCACACCCTGGATGTTCGGCGGGCATTGGCCTTTTATCTGGACCGTACCCGGCCTTTCCGTAAGTCGTCTCAGCTGTTCGTGGCCATTGCGGAGCGCATGAAGGGCCAACCGATTTCGACGCAACGCCTGTCGGCGTGGATAGTGCACTGCATACGTACGTGCTACGAGCTCGCCAACACGCCTGCTCCTCAGATCAGGGCTCACTCCACTAGAGCCCAGGCGTCCTCGACGGCCTTCTTGGCACAGGTCCCGCTCCAGGAGATCTGCAAGGCAGCCACCTGGTCGTCGGTGCATACCTTCACAGCCCACTACGCGATCCACCATCAGGCTAGAGATGATGCAGTGGTCGGCAAGGCGGTGCTGCAATCAATTATTCCTTGACTCCTACCCTCCTCCAACGGTAAGCTTGCGAGTCACCTAATGTGGAATGGACGTGAACAAGCACTCGAAGAAGAAAAGACGGTTACTTACCTTCTGTAACTGTTGTTCTTCGAGATGTGTTGTTCACGTCCATTCCAC